TTAACATATGCATTTGATAACAAACCACCTTTAAGTTGCCAATAAAGCAACATTGCCATTATTTATATCACATGGCATTTAAGTTCTGCACATTCCTATATAATATTCTTTGAAGCTTCAATAAAAGTATACATATCTTTTATATTTGAAATATACACCTAAGAAACAAAATTGTCAAAAAATAATTTCCATTTCTGCTGAATCTCTATGTAGTTTTCAATACATAAATGTACTTATATGTATAAATAATGCCGGCAATCGTATGTAACATACAGGTTGTCGTGTGACTTGTCAAACAAAGCAGGTGTTCCAGGGATCATTCCAAGTCGATTCGAATTTGTTTTAAAGATATAAGAAATAAAAAACTTAATAATTTAAACGCAGGCCTTATTTTCAGGTCTTCTGTACACTCTATCTTTGTTGACCAACAATTTCGGGACACCCTGTATATATAAAATAACTTTGCAAATCTACAATTTACTTTAAGAAAACAGATCATTTTCCTTCAATGCCGATCGGATTCTGGGCAATAAGTACACCCATCTGATTCAGTAGATAGTTTGATCGCATCATATACTTCGTTAAACTGAGTTCTATTCATTCGAAAGTAATTCTTAAAAACTTTTGAATAAATCAAAATTGTGAGATGTTTTATATCTTTTTGCCACCAAATAACAAAGTAATATATCTGCTTCAGCTAAATACCAATTTGCAGTTAATATGAATTATTTAAAAAACATTTATTCAGTCTGACAGTAATGGTGTAGAAGACCGTCAAGGTAAATCAACATTAAAAACAATTCCAGTATGCCCATGAATTTCTTTGAAGCAAAAGCGCATCGACATTGCTTGCTTTGATAGTTTTGCAACCGATTGAACCTTGTAACACCTAGTTTGCGTTTGTTGGTCGAGCCGCAAAACACTCTGTATTTTGATAATTAAAAAACAAATTATGAACAGAAATAAAAGACTAGACAAAGAGTATAAGACGACGATGAGGATGTGACTACCATGAGTATATTGTCTTTTACAGTGGAGACTATTTCATTAGTCAGTTTAGCATTAATGTCTAAACTAACTTATAAATAGGTAATAATGACTTATATAAATAATAAAATTGCATTATAAAACGACTATGACATTCTAGAACAAATAATTAGTAAAACTTAAAATAATAAAATATTAGTAAAAATATTGAATAATATTGGTTAGCTGTTCTTTTCTTGCTTCATTTTTAAAGATCTCGGACTGTAGGTGTCAAGTTGTCCCACTTTTAGCAAATGCTTCTTAGAAAGAAAATGTCGCTTCAAACAATACCCAAGCCTCGTTTGAAATTTACATATGCTACATTTATATACCTTCAGTTGCGTACATTCTTTATGTGTTTCTAAATGGGCTCGTAAATTTCGTCTATATTTTGTGGTGAAAGAACAAATATCACATATGTACAAACCACTAATGTCGTTAGTGTTTTTATGTTTGTCTAAATGAGCCATAAATAAACCTTTTTTGAAAGTGCTATACGAACATTCTTTACAGTCAAATTTCTGATCGTTTTGATCCAGTTGTGACTTCTGCTTTCGGAACAGATCTCCGTGAACGTAATGAAGATGCCTTTTAAGTGTACATTTTTGTTTAAATTTTGAATCACATATTGCGCAAATAAAAAATTCGCATTCCCCAGATGGAAGATGTGTGGCAGTGTGCCGTTTCATATGAGCTATAGCTTTCGTTCTGTAACTACATTTAGAACAATAGTGCCATAACAGCTTACTGGGATCATGTAAAAGTTGATGCTTTCTTAAAGACAGTTCACTAGAAGTTTTAAAACGACAAAAATTACATGAAAATATATCGTCTGCTTCATCCTCAGATAAATCGGGTTCGGACCTAAAGCAGATTAATTTTTGAGCTCTAAATTCATTTTATACATTTTATGCTTACTTGATTTCATGCAAGTCAATATCTACTTCTTTCTTCATAAGACTGTAATCAAAGCTGGACAGGGACGTTGAATCATCAGCCCCACTTAAAGAGTTCTCAATGTTTTCGCCCACATTACCACCACTGTGACTAGTTTCACACATTTCCTCAAACTCCTCTTTAATGTGGTGCCATTCTTCCACTGCAATACTCTCATTCTTGATGAACACTTCGTTGTTATTACTAAAATGTAATGTGAATAACATAAACAAAAACAAACTGAACAAATAACATTTTAAAAAAATAAATTTTATTTTTATGAAAGAAAAATATATATGCTACCTAAGGTAATACTATCAATTATTTTCCAAAAATGTTATCAATGACACAATGTTTTAGTGATGAATCTAAAGATAAAGACAGCATCTAACTCAAGTGCATGCATTTGGCAAGTTTTTCAATCTTCGCGAAGTACTAAATTTTGTCTATCTATATATTGGTTTATAACGTTCTACGACGTCTCCCGATTTCCATTTTTTATCTGTATGGTTAACGATAACGTTACCTATAGGATAAATCTCTGACAAATATTTCTGATCTATGCTTATATAAAAATTGACCATTTTATATGAATATTATTTTAAGAGCCCCTTCTGCAAAGTAGAATACTTACAATAATCTGTCAACGGAATCAACACCCGTTGTATATTCTTCGTCTTCGTATGGTTCTTCTTTAATTGTGCTGTGAAATATGTTAAGTAATTGATTTTCTTCATAAATCGGTGCTTGCCTCGATTCGTTATTAATGTTTGTATCCATATTCTGAAAAAGAATATAAAGAGTGACAATGAATGAATGTTGAAGGAGATATGACTGAGATGATCAATACGTTTTAATAAAATATGTTTACTTAATAATGATCGAACGAATAACTATAAAGCAAACATAACTATCAGCATTACAATTTACCGTGGAATGTGTCTACCTTGCGCAAAATGCATGAGCACATCGAACTTTTGCAACTTACTTATTGTTTTTGCTCGATGTTTAAGCAAAGAAAATCAAGAATGAAAGAAAATATTTACAAAATTTAATTGATGAAACACAGAACTTTACTTTCATTATAATTATAAACGATGAATACTTAAAAATACTTAAAATATCTGATTTTAATTAGATTAATAGAATTAGGGCTTTAAAGCCCGAAAAACATTTCTAAATGTGATTTAATTAGAACGTTTTAATTTTCTATATCAACGCCACCTATGAAGGAATTAGAGAAAAGCTACCGATTGCGCCGACGCTGGTGACACAGGCCACGTCATCACAACCTTATTCGCAAGTTCAAATGTCCAGACGCAGCCTGGTGGCTAAAATTATAACTACGAGTTAATTAGTAATATGACACTTGTTTTGTTGACATTAATTTATAACTATATTTTCCTGTTTAGTCACAAAATTAATTTTTCTATATTATTTTCAGGTGTATTTTCTCCACAGACCATCCATACCTACAAATGCCACACTAACATTCTTAAAAATACACTAAAGTCCGCTTATAATGAACCCGGTTATAGTGCACTTTCGGTTAAAACGAACTTTTTTCTTTAATTGAAACGTCGTCCATAAAGACCAACGTATTTTTTTACTGGTTGTAACGAACCCGTTTATAACGAACTTCCAGATATAACGATCACTTTTTAGGTTAATTGTATATTCACTTTCCGTTTATAACAAACTTTTACGCTCAGCAACACGAATCGTGCGGAGTTGTTTATATTAGTGAGAGCGAGAAACCGGCAGTGACTTATTGTTTTTTGCCGCGTTATGTTTGTAAATCGTTTTAGAATGGAAAAACAAAAACGCAAAGCTTTTTCACTAATTGAAAAGTACGAGATTATTAACAAAATAAAAAGTGGAGTAAAGCAGAGTGACGTGTAAGGAATTAGCACTTGGAAAGTCTACTGTTGCAACAATATGAAAAAACAGAGAAAACATTTTATCAGCGTATGACAAAACAAATGTTAGATGTA